TAGATTGCTAACTGGGGGATATACAAAGGTGTGGAGACTGGAGATAATCCCCCAGTTGGGAAACCCCTGGCGAGTCCCGGAGGGGGTTACAGGATCATAACACATTGCCTTTACGCAGCCATCAGATCATGATTTCACATTCCTGCAATGCTCTTGCACAGCCATCAGGCTATTTGGACCATTTACTGTGCCCAGAAGTAAGTTTAAAACAGCAAAAAAAAAAAAAAAAAAAGAAAGAAGGAATGCATCAAAATTGGTGGAGTACATTGAAGACTTCAGAAAACAATAATTTAAAAACATTCAAACAAAAACCTCAGGATTTTTACATTTTTGTTTTCATTACTGACCAATATAAACAACATCAAATATCAAGACAAAAAATAAAAAAAATTGGTCAGTGTGTAGCAGGGAACATGGGGAGAATGATAAAAGAATAAAATATGGAAAAAAATAAAAGGGGTTTCAACATGCAGCACACCCTTTTTGGATGCGCTACCCACCAGATGTTTCTGGGCTGGTCTGGGTGGGTTGTAGAACTAATTTGTAGTACATAAATGGGGGTAGCAGCTCAAATTACTTAAAATGCAGATTATTCCTTCATTGATCTTTTTGGTGGTCAAATTGAAACAAATTTGATGATAATGTTTTTAACCTACACGTTTCCATTGGGTTTTGAACTATTGAAAGTGTGGGAAAAAGTATTGAAATGACCCAAATGCATTGCTTTGAAATCAGAAAAAGAAAACATTCAGAAAGCCTAACAAGATTTGGAAATTATTTCTAATACCAGAACCAGACTAAAGTAGAACAAAGATCAGACAATATGTATCCAGAAATCTATTGAAGGGAAAAGAAGAACTACCACAAATAATTAAATGAGATTGAATTAGAACACCTGAAGATCAACCAAAGAAAGAGTAGGACACAGGATACTAAGCATAGGAAATAAGAAAGATTAGTAAAGAAGGAAAAGAGATCAGAAAATTTAAAAGAAAGGATGGTTGTGGTGAGTTCTCACCAAGTGGTGGATGATTCCTTGTGGCACAGCAGATGATAGTTGAAATTTGAAGTGGAGTTGTAGAAGATGGAGTAAAGTTGAGATGTGTGAGAAGTGATTGGATAGAATTTGGAATGAGTTGTGGAGTGGGAGAGTTGATGAAGAATAAGATTGGGATTGAGTCAATATTTTATTGAGATTTTAAGAAAAGATTGGGTTTGGAAAGATACATGTGAAAGAAGAAATTATAATAAAGAATCACAAGAGACAATCATAACAGATCTGGCAAGAAGGAAAACTCAACATAGCCAGATGCAGTGCCAAAAATATTATTATTATTTTTAAAAGTAAACTTGACCATTGAATTCTTCACCCTAAAAAGTTTAGGCGGAAAAGCTATTATCATCAAATTTGTTTCAATTTGACCCCCCAAAAAATTAATGAAGGAATATGTTGAAATCAAATATATTGGTGTGAAACTTAATTCTGTGAGCTATCCAAATGAGATCAAGCCATACTTTCAAAAATCAACACATCAGGCACAAACTTTGTAGCCTAGTTGGTCAAGGTAGCACTTCTAGTATAGTGTCTTAGCTTCTAAGATTGCTGGTTCAAATCCTGCCCAAGTTGATCTTGCTAAATGTCTGAAAAATGCAATGTTAGTTTTCACAGAATATGCTGCATTTTAAGAAAATTTGTGTACCACAAATTGGTTCTGTGACCCACCCAGACCAGCAGGGCAACGTCCAGTGGGTCGCAGAACCAAAAAA